CATCCTTGAGCAGATCCAGACTGACCCTAGCAGCCAGCCTGATTTCCATGAGTGTAAAGGTTTACATTTCCGACATAACGGGAAGTACGACCGACTGTGAGTACCCAACCATGAGCCTATCCGTACTCACTTCTTGGACTTGGCTCACAGCCGGAGTGGACACTTCAGTTTTGAAAAGACATACGGAAGTCTATTGCAAAAGTTTGTATGGCCTGGGATGAAAGAAATGGCGCGAAAGTTTGTGGCTGAGTGTGAAGTTTGTCAACGCATCAACCTGTCTCGGCAAAAGCCCTATGGGTTGTTGCATCCTCTTCCTATTCCTGATGGCCCGGGTGAGTCTCTTTCCATCGACTTCACGGACATGGGAAAGAAGAGCAGGAAGGATATTCACAAGTAATGGTGATCGTTGATCGCTTTTTGAAGTTTTTGAATTTGATCCCATTACCACCTCACGCCCCAACTAATCATGTGATCAAGGAGTTTCACAAAGGGTACATTCTGCAGTGTGTGGGCCCCTGAAAACTTTTGTGAGTGACCAGGACACTATGTTCATAAGTGCAGATTGGAAGGACTTTCCCAGATCGATGACATCAAACTCAAGATGACGTCTGACCGACATCCCGAAGCCGATGGACTGGCCGAGGAGGTCAGCCATATTGTGATCCAACTTCTCCAAGCTCTAATTGTGCCTGAACAGAACTCTTGGGATGAGGAATTGTCGATTGTGCAAGGATTGTAAAACAACTCCATACACTCCTCCACGGGGATGACACCTAATCGGTTGCACCTCAGGTGGCAAATTCACAACCCCCTATCCTATCTGTTTCGTGACCAGCCACCTGGCCTAACACCTCGCCAGCCAGGCTACAATGCTAAGTTTGATCGCTTGCTCAAAGTTGTTGTCGCAGCTATGGAAAGGTTACGTAGTGCCATGATTAAACATGCTAACAAAAAGCGCCAGCCTGAACCTTTAACAGTGGGAAGTTATTTCTAGGTCAAAATGTTTGAGTTTTCTGAAGAAGGTGTATCACGGAAGCTTCTTCCTCAGTATTACGGTCCGTGGAAGGTGCTGAACCGAGTAGGGGATAATTCATTTGGTCCTCCTTACACGATCGACGTGCCTCCTCATCTACGCACGTACCCAGTCTTTCACGCGTCGAAACTGTTTCCGTATGAACCACCTGAAACTTTTCCGTATCGGGAATCGATGATTCCTCGCGCAATCAATGGCGGTCATGAGATTGATAGAATTGTCAAACACAGTGGAAAAGGCAGAAACAGACAATACAAGGTCCATTTTCTATATCATGGATTGCTAAGAAAGACTTGTTGCAGAGTGCCCCCCGAGTCGTCAACGCATATGAACGACTGATTAGCTCCGAATAAGAACCTAAATTTACTGCTACCCTCACTCCTACGGAACATACCCGATCCCTCTTTGCCATTTACGCTTATGATGCATTATGCAGGGACTCCAATTGAGTTACTCGCTCGAAGGGACCTCGCTCTTGAGGGGGGGTGTAGTGTAATGACCTGCCATAACACAGACTGAGAACACTACTAATTTCCGAAGTTCTGCCGATGGAATGGATGCCTTGCTGAGATTCCCACATTCTGCTGAGTTTTTTAAGTCTGTATGTGTGCGTGTGCTAGTGACCTGCGTGCCTGTCTGAGTGCTTGTCAGCATGAGTGTGTGTATGACCCGCAAGGGTACTTGCTTGTTTGGCAGGCCCGTAGGGCCGGTACTTACGTGTGGCCGCAACATTGAGGATTGCAGCAGGGGAAAACAGTCAAGTGGCGGAGCCAGAGGCCCGCGACACTTAGAGCAGCGGAAAACCACTCAAGTGGCAGGTAGGCCGGTACCGCACCCAGTAGCAGGAGATGTGCCGGGTACTCGAGGCCGAGCAAAAGAAGACAAAGTTGGCGTTTTTAGAGGCCCAGTAGCGGTAGGCTAGGTCTAGGCCGGTACCAGTCCATCCAGTCTGAGTCTAGGGCCTGTACGGGCAATATCAGAGTCTGCAATGATGTTTCCCTCCGAAAGGGAGGAGGTACCGGTTGCTTGAGAGGCCAAGCGGCCTGGAAGTCACGGCCCAGGAGGCAAGTAGGCCGCTATATCAAGAGGCTGAGGGAAGAGATCGGCCTCTCTCTTCAGTGTGCAAGTTTGGCGACATGCTGTTGGAGCGCTGGATGGAGAAGCGCTGGCTACTACAGCGTTGTTGGGGGAAGAAGTCGGGAGCTTCCACCTTGGCTATGGTGGAGCTCTACCGGTAGGAGGAGGAGGGAGAAGAGGACCAAGGAGGAGAGTGGCAAGGTACCTAACTGGCTATGGTGGACACCATCTTCATCACCTTGTTAGGTGCTGCATCTAGAAGGCCCCCGTTGGGGTAGTGCCGCACCAAGGAAGCTCGGGGCAGAGAGGCATGGCGGCCTAGTGAGCAGCGACATAGTTGCTTTGCGTTGTCCTTTGCACACGAAGGCAACGACATAGCTGCTTTGGGTTGTCCTTTGGACAGGAGGGTTAGCCCTCAGTAGTCCGCCATAGCCTCGGCCTACATGTGAGAGGAAGGAGAAGGGTGGCCATGGCTATGGTGGACCTCATGTTGTGCCTGCAGTAGAAGTGGGATTCGGACATTGATTCTGGTTCAGCCATTCAATATTATTATTGTTATTTCTTGTTTGAATAAGAGGGGAGGAGATAAGGAGGAGGAGATTGGTTGGCGAAGAAGAAGAGCATTATCTTTGGTCTATGTTGGATTACATCATATTCTTCTTCTTTCTTACTTCTTCTTCTTCTTTCCCTCTCTCTCCTCCCAAGTTCATTCATTTCTTTTTGCAATTGGACGACATTGTACTTTCTGATGAATGTATACTTCGAAATTGGCCAGGATTGTAACATCTTCGTCTTGAAACGGTATTCACCAGTTCGCAGTAGCCGATGCAGATCCCAGGGCTCGATCCCTAGTCCCCACCTTACCTGTGTACAGTATCTGTGTCGACCCCTGGAGTTGAACCCGTGACCTGTGTATTTGTAACAGTTGGTAGACTGTCGTAGGGTCAGTAGGTAGCAGGGGTTCGATCTGTAGACCTGTCGAATAGGAGTCTTAGTCAGGTCTAGAAATCGTAGCTGTAGATTTCCCGAAGGGTCAAGGTCGTAGCTGCTACAGAATCGAAAGGCCAAGTCTACGGCCTTCCGAAAGGTCCAAGGAGTGGCCTTTCGAAGTTGCCCAAGTTTAGACTGAGGCAAGTGGGCAAGTGGTGGATTCTACCCATGCTGAGTCAGCAGTCCAAGTCCCAGTCAGTCCTAGTCCAGTCAAGCAAGGCATGGGACTGTGTGCACTACGGGCATGGGAAAGGGCCAGACCAAAGAGCTGCAGAAGTATAAATCAAGAGGCAGCGCCCATACATTCATTCATTCCTCCGTGAGCCATGCGGAAGCGTTGCCACAAGCGACTTGTGTGAGGTGGTCTGTAGTGAGCCCGAAGACGAAGTGGGCGAGAGTGAAGGACCTTAGCCATAGCGATAGGGTAGCAGCGGCCATAGCCGCCATAGCTGTAGATAGAGTTCAGTGCGTGAGTGTGTGTGTGAACAGAGTATCGTCTGTGGGATATCCAGGGTGATCCTGTGTATGCGAACAGAGAGTTGTGTGGGCGCTGAGTCGCCATAGCCATCGAAGTGAACTTGTATCTGAGTTGTGTTTTCTGTTGCTATATCTTTGAGTTATGAGTGGGCGCCTGTCGCCAGTTTGCCGCGCACCTGTTTGCATGCATGAGAAGTGTGAATGAGAGCGAGCTTGATTGCATTCGTATCGGAGCTGGTACCCGTTGTTCCACGCGCGTCCTCGTGTGCCGCAGGGATAGTGACGCGCCATAGCTGAAGTGGCCATCAGAGAAGAAGTCCGCCATTGCGGACTCGGAAACTGAAGAAGCCACCGCGCGCACCTGCAAAGAAGACCACGACGAAGAGGAGAGAGAGAGAAAGAGAGGGAGAGAGAAAGGTTGAGCGATACAAGATTGGTTTACTACATACCTGCGTTGACTACATCACTACGGAGAGAGATAGATAGATAGATAGATAGATAGATAGAGAGAGAGAGAGAGAGAGAGAGAGAGAGAGAGAGACGACTAAGATGAGCGACACAAGTTTGGTTGTCACGTACCTGTGAAGAGTCTCGTGCAGTCTCACGAGGAAGAAGGAGGCGACCATAGCTGCGGAGCTCGACCACAGAGTAACGAAGAGGGTGACAGGGAGGACAGAGGAAGAGACTGAGGGTGAGAGAAGCCATAGCCGAGGAGGTGGAAGGAGAGACGAAAAAAAAAAAAAAAAAAGAGAGAGAAAGAAGACAGTTGGGGTGAAGAGAAAGGAGGCGAGGTAAGGAGAAAGGAAGGAGAAGGGTGGTGAGGAAGGAGAAGCCGGCAGCCATAGTTGACCGGGCGTTGACCGGGTGTTGACCGGGTGTGATCGAGAGTTGACCAGGGGTTGACTGCAGCGTTGACCAAGGCGTTGACCAAGACTGTTGACCACGAAGTGACCGAGCTGGAGCCGATATAATCTCGCCAAGCCTTCAGCCTATTCCCTCGCCCTATGGATGTGCACACACCCTATGGTACTTGCTGAGTCAAGTTTGTCTGTCTCTTCTTTCTGCATTGAGTCTCTTCTGTCCAGGTGATAGGAACTCTGTGAATGAAGGATAGGGCCTTGTTGACCAAACCCACATGGGCTGAGTAGGGCTAAAGACTGTCTCTGACGACTCGACTGGGACCGGTACTGGCCTGTGGGTTGCTCGGTGTGGCACGGTAGGCCCAAAATCCGAGTTGTGGGCTGCACAACAGGCCGTCTACGTCTTGAGAAGACCTACTGATTGCGTCCTCCTGTCTGCGACATTAAAGAATTCCTGAGGAGTTACGGGGGATCTCCTTAAATGCCTCCTGATCAGCAACATGTCTTGTAGTGACAGCCTTAGAGTAGGTCTAGGTTAGAAGATCCTAGTTGACAAGATCCTGTCCGGATTCTATAAGTTCTTAGATTGAGTCAGTAGGTTTGCCGGTCAGGGGGAGTAGAGTCTAAGTGGTGAGGAGTGGAACCGTTGTTTGGTTGTGCACCTATCACCATGGTTGACGCCCGTAGTGGGAAGAGTACTGCCCCCCAATCCGAGGCCGAGCAGGCCCGGATCGCCGTCATTCTGAGGGAGAGGAAAGAGAAGAAAGAGCTCCTGAAGCAGGCGAAGTTAAAGGCTATAGTAGAGGAGCAGGCGGCAAAGAAGAAGAAGTTAGAGGAGGAGATATTGAGATTCCAAAAAGAGAAGATGATGCTGTTAGAGCAGGAGGAGGAAGAGAAGAGAAAGGTTGCTGAAGAGGAAGCAGCAGAAGAGGAGGAAGAAGAAGAAGAAGAACCCCTTGAGAGAAGGCGCAGGGAAGAAAGAGGAGAAGCAAGTGGCACGAAGGGGGAAGACGCGTGGATGGGGAGGAAGATCAGTGAATGGGTGGCTAACTTATCGTTGGGAGAGGACGAGGAGGCACATCTGTATGTGCCGCAGGAGGAGAGAGAGGCATTTGCCAAAGTGTTGGAAATGATAGAAGACCCCCTGGAACGTCAGACAACAGAGGAAGAAAAGAAGTTGGAGTGGAAGTTGAGGATGATGAGGGAGAAGAAGAGAAGGAGGGAGGAAGCCAGCCGAGTGGCGAAAGAAGTGGAGAAAGTCCGGGCATGCAGACCGGAGATGCAGGCACAAGCAGAGGTCCCTGCAAAATTAGATAAGATCATAGGGTACCTGGAGATCCTGAGTGAGGCCTGGCTTGAGGAGCATCAGGCCAACAAGGGCCACGATGTGACCCTGCATGCCATCCGTTCTGGGTTTAGAGAGTTTGCGCGCGACGTGGTGACCCACGTCGGGGCCGAAGTTAAGAAATTAAAGGAAGGCGCCGACAAGTTTTGCGCAGGCGCCATTGAGGGCGCCAAAGTAGTGGCCACACCAGAGGCCACAGCACGTTCCCGCAAAGAGTCTGTAAAGCTCAAATTCCCTGATGCCTATAGCGGGAAGAAGGAGGAAAGTTTTGACAACTGGGAGGCCAGTGTTAATACTTATGTGTATTTGCAACATATTGCCCTCGAGGAGCAAGTCCTCGTCGCCTTTCATGCACTGAAGGACGAAGCGGCCAGCTTCGCCAGGTCCCTCGTGCGCGCTGCGGATTGTGAGCATAATATGATTGCGTATTCTAGACTCACCCCTCTCCACTTTTCTCAAACTCCTGCGTGAGAGGTTCGCTGACGTCACGAGAGGCGTCAGGATCTCAGATAAGCTCCAAACCATCCATTCGCGACAGTGGAGGAGTGCGCGAGCGCTCAAAGCTGTTATGTGCGACTTGGTAGCCGTCCCGGACCATGGGGTCACTAAGACCCAGTTGGTCCAACTGTTTTATCGTGCCATGCCAGAGCCCTTGCGAGGGCACTTCTTTGACAAGACCCAACAGCCCAATATCACATATGATGCGCTGAGTAGGGAAGTGGTCTTGTTCGAGGCAAAGTCCATGCCAGTTTCCACTTTCTGGCACAAGGACTTGGATAAAGGTAAAAAGTGGAAAGGCCGTACCATCTCTGGCCAGGTTAGGGCCGAGGATCATTTGATCCTTACCTTAGATGAAGGTGGTACTGATGAGGTCCCTTACAGTCAGATTGAGTGGGGCCTCGAGGAGGAGGACAATAGCGTAGGACAGGGAAGGTCCTATGCTGCTGTCGCAGCTGAAGGGAGGCCGCAAGGTAGAGGAGCAGGTCAAGGCCAAAGGGGCCAGGCCATGGGAGGCCGAGGATCGAGCGCACAGGGGGTTGGTGGTCAAGGGAACCGTCAAGCGGGAGGTAGGGGTCAAGGTCCCCCGCCGAATCGTCAAGGTCCCAGTCGGTCCCCACAGCGACGAGGTGGAGGATCACCTCAAAGGAGAGGAGGTTGGCACCCAGGCTGGCCACAAGGCCGGCCCTGGGAAGGTCTGGGCCTGGATCAGAAAGTGTGGCAACAACGCATGGAGCAGGGGCAGTGCATTTACTATGGTGACCCTGCCCATATTATAAAACTCAGAAATCAGTTGTGTGTCTTAGTCCGTGTTTGGCAGGTCATTACAGTACCCCCCTCTCAAGAGCAAGGTCCCTTCGAGTGAGTAACTCATTCCGAGTCCCCGACAAATGCATCGTAAGTGAACAAAGCAAAGAGATTTCGTGAGTGCTCCGTAGCAGTGA